CTAGCATGAAAAGGAGTTTGGAAATTAGCTCTTCTTCGTTTTTTGGTGATGGGGTGGGTCCATTCAACGATTATGTTGACTTTGACTATGCTGGATTGGAAGGTTACACTTCTGTGCGTTTTTACTTCCATTCAAACACAGTATTAAATACTCTTTACAATACACCAAAAGCGTAAACTTCAGTTAAATTACAAATTTTAACCAGTAATCTAACAGGCTACCAAATGATAATTCAGTGAAGTCTTGTTGATGAAAACCAACCGTCAACGTAAAGTAACTTTGGAGAAGGAAAATGACAAACAACTCTTAAAGATCCTGAGTGAACAAAAATGCGACACCTAGCCTTTCCCTCTAAGAAACAGGGTTTTTTTTTTTTTTTGCCCAGGAAAAAAACGAAAAAAAAAACACTGGTGAACAAGTTGATACTCGTCTTTGTCATATTGGTCAACTGCTTGCAACAAAAGTCCAACTCTCTGAGATATATATATATATATATGTCAAAAAATTCCACTATAAGATTTTCAACATTTCTAGTTGTAAAAACCATATATTTGCTTGAGTTGGGGAAGTGGTGTAATTCATTGATGGGGAAGGGGGCAGTTACCCAGCTTCGTTGTCATCAACTGCAAACGTTATTTTTAATGTTTCTTGCAATGATTATTAAAATGGTGATTCTCCCATCAGATTACTGCCAATAACAAAGAATCAACCACTTGTGCGTGGTCCCAACTAAACCCCACTATTGATTCACTTTTTTTTTTTTTTTTGATATCATGAAGTGCGTAATAAAATAGTGGTGGTGGCATAGTTTATATGGGACATCTACAATGAAATGATATAGTAGTATTGATAGTCTCTTTGTGCTCCCATCACCCATGGCATGCTTCATGAATAGTGATGATGCCCATTGACCCATCTTTGGTCGGAAAGTGGTGTTCTTGGTCCTTCAAGTTAAGATGTGTTTAAGCAATGTCATCCTTCATTGTGTAGACGTTCTTGTTGGCGTCAATATTTAGGAGTTGAAGTGCGTGATAAAAAGTGGCTCGAGAAGGAAAAGTTACTAGGATTAAAAGGGACACTTTTGCGAAGACTGTCACTAAGCATCTTTATGTAGTGCCAAATTAAATTTGGTACAAAAGGTCACTCTTAAGTACGATGTTTAACTAAATTTGACAAGTTATACATGGTGTCCTCGTATTCACAATCTAATGGTCATATAATAATTTATTAGGATCACACGTGAAACGGAAATAAATCTAATTCATATTTTCGTCAATTAACATTTAAAAAATCTAAAGTCACATCAACTTAAGTCATATTTAACATGTTAATAAAATGATATAATTGAAATTTCATCACGAAAAATGAGAATCTGTTACTGAATAATAATAAAATAAAAAAAGTCCTAGGTCGTCATTTTCCAATTCTCTAGACTTCACTTGGTGTTCATAACGAATAATATAGGCTTTTATTAAATATATAGTAGCCTTCATAGAGAGGAAAAAAAAAAAAAAACTTTGGGCCTGTTTGTTACCGTTTTTATTTTCATTTTTCACGTTTTTTGAAATAAAAAATTAAAAACATAAATGAAAAACGCGTTTGGCGAAGTTTGTGTTAGAAAACAAAAACAAAAACGTTTTTGTCTTTTTGTGAAAAACTGAAAACGAAAAAAATACGTTTTCATTTTCACGTTTTCGTTTTCTGAAAACGGATTTCAGTTTTTTTTTTTCTTCTCTCTCTTGCCGTCTCCGACTGCGCCCCCCTCCCCCACTCATCTCCGTTGATTGATGAGGTAGTAAGGAAATGGGTTTTCAGTTTATTTAATATATTATTATTTAAAAATTAAACTACTAAATACAATTTTAGTTTTTTTAAAATTGAAAACAATCTCAAAATAAAACTACCAAACGTATTTTCAGAAATTATTCCAAAATGAAAATAAAAACGTTTTTATTTTTATTTTCATACAAAAAGTAAAAACGTTTTAGAATCAATTCCAAACGCACCATTTGTGATCTATGCTTGACTGTCTCTTACCTAACAATAGTATCGTTTTTAAAACTAATTATTAGCACAAACAGTGTGCTCCACTATTTTGGATTAGACGATGTTTTCTCATCTAATTTTTCGTTACCAAAAAAGACATTGATTCTCATACTTAAAACGTTGACTTTTTGGTCCGCAACCTTCGCCTGGAGTCTGAACCTGCCGATAAGTCAATAGTACCGTTTACTTTACCGATTTAAATTTAAAATTTAAATTTTGTTATAGTAAAAAATTTTTAAAAACAATCACATTTAATTTTTTTATTATAGTAAAAAATTCTCACATAAAATTACATATCAACTTGAATTATAAACTCAAATCAGTGAACTAAAGGGGTTATAATTTCCTTCCTACCCAGCTCATTAGTGCAGATAATTACCTTGTTAAACTAATGAGAAATAGATAAGACCCATTATCTAATTCCCGCTTAAAATACTAGGAAGTAAGGAACAGTGGTAGGCAGTGAAGTCCAACAGTGGGACCCACTGTCAAATGACAATGACCTGGAATCCCAATATCAACGACAAGCCCCAGTGACCCCCGTTGCTCTGCCACATCACTTGATCACTTTTCCAGTTTTCCCACCCCGTGACTATATCCTAGTTTTCGTGTTTATTTTGTCCCGATAATATACTAGAATGACTATTCAACAAAATAAAATTAATAAAATGATTTTTTTTATTTTTTATTATAAAAAAAGACTATCTAATTATTTTTTATAAAAAGTGATCATTTTATAAATATAAATTTTTAAAAAGTTATTTTACTAATAAAATTTTTTTATTGAGTTATTTTTATAAAGCCCTCGTCTTTGGTGGGGTGTTTTTATTAAGACTGATAATATAAGTCATGATATGATAATATGATTTAAAAAATGATATAAATTTCATGGATTAAGGTTAGAAAAAAAGATGTTCGAGTCAGAATTGAGTGTACTTGAAATTGACACTAAAAATACAGGTTAATTTCATGTTGGACCCGCTTAACCCGAACACGACATGAAACTCGTACAAAATTAAAAAATACATATATCTTTCATTACATATTTTTGATTTTATTATAAACTTGTGATATCATGATAGTTATACTCAAAATCTTAAACTATTATTAGATAATTTTAATGGATGTTATTGTATTTTAGTGTGTTATGAATTTTAAGTTATTTCTAATATGTCAAAAACTAAATAAAAGTAAACAATTTTTGAGTTAATTTCGGGTTCACGGGTCAATTTTGTGTCACGTGTCATTTTTGTATCATGTCGTGTTAACCCATAAAGTGGTCGTGTCATGTTCGTGTTGCGGTTTTTAAAAAATTTTGTGTCATAGGTCGTGTTCAGGTTAACTATAAATTAAAAAAAATGATCAAAACACGACACGTAATACGAATTGTCACCCCTAACTTTTATAGTGGATAAAGTTATTTTGCTATATTAATATAAATTTTTTTATTAATAAATTGATTTTTTAACCGATTAATTTGAAATAGAAATATTTTGGGTATCATTTATTTTACCGATTCAAATTTTCAATTTTAAGTTTATACAATTAAAAGTTCTACAAAAATATCACATCTAACTTTTTCTGTTACAGTTAAAAGCTCTCAAAAAATGTCACATCTCAGCTCAAATTGAAAATTTAAATATGCAAAATGAATGAGGCTTATATTACATATCGTAAATTTTTAATATAGACATTTATAGATCTGACTGTTAAAAAAATAATCTAATGATTGAAAGTAATAATTCTTTTCAGATAATAAGGCCCTATTTATTTTACCAATTTAAATTTAAATTTTAAATTTTACTATAATAAAAAACTTTTATAAATAATCACATTTAAATTTTTACTACAATAAAAAGTTCTCACTAACTATGCACGTTCTACCGTAAATGTTGTTTTTGTTTTTGCCTTTTTTTTTTGGGTGAAAAGAAATCTCAAGGATTTGCTCATTGCGCCAAGAGTAAGCTACTCTTTCAACTTCTAATATTGATAAAGTGTAATAAATAGTCGTACGCTGCCCCCAAAGTGATGGAAGTTAAATTTGGACCGAGGCATCTTGCCCATATTTTGTGAGTTTGTTTTAAAGAACAATCTTAAATTCTGAATAATGATCAGAAAATAATGATTTTTTTTATTAAATCTAATATTATTAATTGATTTTAGACTTTAATTCACTAACAGTGACGAAGTCAGATAAATTAGTTAGAAGATTGGGGCCTAATTGAGCTTAGGTTGGGGTGTATTTGATCTAATAAGTTGTGATTAATAAAGAAATATAGAATTTTAAGAGGTAAAATACAAATTTTATATACAAAATTAAAAGAAAAAAAATAATAGGTGGGACGAACCCTCATCCATAGGTGGCTCCGCCGTGCTCTCTAATATAGTGGTGAATTCATAAAATAAGCTGTCACAACAAACAATGCATGTAAAATTTACCAATTCAATCAAAGTTTTGTTCTTAAAAGCCCAAAAAAATAAAAAAAATAAAAAAATAAAACCTAATTCATCGTCCTCGAGATGTTTAGTAATAATCCAATCAAAATTGTTAAGCTAATTATTCACACAGTTAAGACTGACTTATGACGAGTGACGCTGGGTTAGTTAAAGCTCAAGTGACAATAATAGCCACAACCAAAAATTGGTTCACGGGCAAGTCAAGATTTAAGTATTGGTTTAATTCACTCATTCAAAATTTTAAGTATTGGTTTAATTCACTAATTCAAAATTTTAATTTAATTTGAGATATGATTTTAACTCCAGATTTTAGCTGCTCATATACTACTGCTCTACTACTCTACGATAGTTTGCAATATTCCGCTCAGCTAGTAAAACGTGACAACTTATGTGGCAATTGAAGATCTTTCTTCAACATCTGAAACTTAACTACCAAAAGTTTTTCAATTGCTTCACCACATTTTTGTTATTATTTCCAAAAGCCAACCAAAACAATTATGTCTTCGCCTTCGCCTTCGCCTTCGCCGGATAATCTCTCTCCGGCCACATCTCAACCACTTCCACAGTCACCATCTTTTCCTCCGCCGCAAATTACACCGCCGTTCCCTTCTCCATTACCACCACCTCCGCCCGCCCCTGCCGCACCTCCGCCGTCGATTCCTCCGGCTATATCTCCAGCCGCCGATGACCCGCGCGATCCGGTTATCTCGCCTCCGCCACCAGTAATAACATTGTCTCCTCCCTCATATTCTACTCCTCCGGCGCCGGCGCCCGCAGATACGTCTCAGCCGGAACCGCCTGTGTAGCCGCCTTTGCATTTCGTAGCTTCACCGCCGCCTCCTTCGGAAACAACGATTCCATTACCACCGGCGCCAAAATCTCTTCCGCCGCCTCCTTCGGAAACAACGACTCCATTGCCACCGGCGCCAAAATCTCTTCCGCTGCCGCCTCCAGAACCTTCGTCACCTCCGACCGCTACTCCGCCGCCTCAGGCACAGGGAATTCCAAAATCACCACCTCCTTCAACCACATCAATTACTCCGTCACCGCCGCCAGTACGGGAGAATATTCCGTCGCCATTACCTGACAGCTCCCCAATTACATCGCCGCCGACACAGGACTCTCCAAAGACGCCTCCGTCGTCATCCTCTTCACCGCCGTTACCGTCACTGCCGTCTTCACCGGCGAACGGAAGTTGGCCGGCGGCAGTGCAGATACAAAAGCCGCGAGCAAATGTAAAGTTCTCGCCGGGCTTTATAGTTGGATTCGCCGTCGTCGCGTTTGTTGTTGTCGCCGTTCTTCTTCTCGTTGTTGCATGCGTTTCGCAAACAACGTCGTCGGAGAAGGAGCCTTTCTTGGCTTCCCAAAGCAACCATCTTAGGCCCAATTGGTGAGACTTTAGTGCCACTTGTATATTCAGCTTACTATTCGTCAACTCTCATTTTCCATTTTTTTCCATTTTTTTCCCCTAATGGCATGTATTTTCTTGGCATATCTTCCCACCAATTGTCATTTTTCGGCATATCTTCCCACCAATTGTCATTTTTCTTTTCTAAATGGAATATGTGATCCATTTCCTTTGGAAAAATCTCATGGTGCCACTATCCTTTTACTGATCCATCACAAAACTACACTAGAATTAGTTCATGAATACTTCTTTAAATCTTACTATGTTTAGAATTGGTTCATGACACGGAGAATTCCATGATAGGGTATGAAAAATATGTTACCGCTATATTATCATAAAATCTTTATGACCCTTTAACGAAATTTAATGAAAAATTATGTCATCCTAATAGGGTATTTGAAATCTCCAATGTCCTAAAAATACATACATTGTATACATACAGTTTCACTAATACAATATTGTGCATGGTTTCAATTGGCATTGTTAGATAGCTTCACTGCCTCTACTCTACCACAACCAAATTCATATCTCCAATCAGCAGCTCCAATCAAAAGCAATGCGGCTACTACTACCGCTGCTTCTTCAATGATCAATTCCGGGCCAAACATTCCAAGCCCCCCTGAATCCAACTTCTCAAGTCATGGCATTTTCACATATGACCAATTAGTAGTAGCCACAAACGGCTTCTCGGAATCCAACCTTATTGGAGAGGGCGGGTTTGGATACGTCTACAAAGGAGTCCTTCTGAGCGGGAAGGAAGTGGCGGTGAAACAATTGATGACAGGAAGCCGGCAGGGGGAGAGAGAATTCCAGGCGGAGGTTGACATAATCAGCAGGATTCATCACAAGCATTTGGTTTCCTTGGTTGGCTACTGCATTACTGGGGCAGAGAGACTCCTTATTTACGAGTTTGTTCCCAACAACACCTTGGAATTCCACCTACATGGTAAGCTAGTCTCTATTATGTGATCATGTTGTGAATAATCACTTTTCTTAATTATTTGCTCGTCATTTTTGTTGTAAAATTTATACTTTGGCTGGCGTGCAAAAGGTTGTTATTAGAGACTTAAAATTGATGACAATTGTTGTTTCTGAATTCATTGTGTGTGGTTGAATTGTATATACATAAATACACATACATTCTGTATACGGAGCTGTTAGTCCCTCCCATGAACTTCATTTTTATTATTTCTTTTTTGTGGCCACTAAAACTCGATTTTTCATACTCGCCCTAGTTGAACTTTACACTTTCTGATATATCTAAATTTCATAGTTCTTGAAAATTGTTGTAATACAACTTTCTATATTTGTCATGTTATTATTTTTCAAAAAAAAAAAAAAATCCTCCAATTGAAATAGAAGCCTGGTTCCTCTACAATCTGTATTTTCATATTAAAATAGGTATAGAAATATTGACACAAATTGGTCTCAGGGAAACATGAAGATGCTATGGAGTGGGCGACCAGACTGAAAATTGCTATTGGGTCAGCTAAAGGACTAGCATATCTTCATGAAGATTGTAATCTCTCTCTCTCTCTCAACTTCATTTGAGTGTATTTCCTCTTGGCAGTACTGCATCCTATATTTTCCCTTTGCTATTGCTTACCATCTTCCTAATGCAACATAATTTCTAAGAACATATTTTGGCTGAGAAAGATCAATACTAGGATTCCATTTTAAGTACCGTTTGAATCCTGCATTACAGGCAATCCAAAGATCATTCATCGCGATATCAAGGCTTCCAACATTCTTCTTGATTTTAGGTTTGAAGCGAAGGTATATTCATTCTGCACAACATTTTGTTATCGGTTAGAGATCTGCAAATTCTTTCATATATTATTTGATCAAATTGGTTTTCTGTGTCAAAACTTCTCATCAGGTTTCTGATTTTGGACTGGCAAAATCCTTTTCTGACACCAATACTCATATTTCTCACATTTCGACTCGAGTAGTAGGAACCTTTGGGTAAGACTTTCTTTCTTTTTTCTTTCACATTAGCCCATCAATTAAGTCCCGTATTCAAAATCATCAATGTGCACAGGTACTTAGCTCCAGAATATGCATCAAGTGGTAAAGTAACAGAGAAATCAGATGTGTATTCTTACGGTGTCATGCTTTTGGAGCTCATAACTGGGCGCCCACCCATCAGTTCAATTGACCCCACAAGGAGTCAGGGCCTTGTTGAGTGGGTCAGTAAAATCAAACGCTTTTTTTTTTCCCGTCAACTTTTTGACAATAATATTGCTGTTCAATTTATGTTCTGTTGCAACAGGCTAGGCCTTTCCTCGCACAAGCTCTTGGAGGTGGCTGTTTGGACGCTCTCGTTGATCCACGGCTGCAGAGAAACTACAACACCGTTGAGATGTCTAGAATGGTTGCTTGTGCTGCCGCTTGTGTGCGCCATTCGGCATGGCTTAGACCAAGAATGATTCAGGTAAATTTCTTTACACCAAATAGAATAAACAAGATGGTGCTCTAGTGTTAATACTTCACTTACCTAGACACGTTTACCATGCTGCATACACTTGGCTAGCAAAAGTCTGCACACACACCTAGCTAAAAATCTTAAGAATTTGTTGCGAATCGAGCAGATAGTCCATGCTTTAGAAGGGCACGCCTCTCTGATGAATCTTTGCGAAGGAATCGTGCCGGGAAGCAGCATATCCTACAGTTCCCCAAGTTCTAGTTACAACGCCGACCAATACAAAAATGACTTGAACAAATTCCATATCACAATTGCAGATCAAGAGTATGGCAATACTATGTACAGTGGAAGCACCAGTGAGTAGGGCCTTAACCCTTGTGTCTCCAGTAGTGAGGCACATCAAACACTGAGGAACTGATTGCAGAAGCCAACAAATAGAGCAGCAAAGTTCATACTTCTAAAATCTAGAATATCCTAGAAACTGTTGAAGTTTTCTCACTGATGCTCTGTTTTATTATTATCGTTATATTATTTATTTATTTTTTAATTTGACATTGTTGGGGAGCAAACTGATCTGTATTGCTTTTTTTTTTTTTTTTTTTTTTTTTTTTTTTGTTCAAAAAGTATGGGGGGGCTTCTTTTCTTTTTACCTTACAGAATTAAATTTTGGTAAATAATGTTTCAATAGTTCTGCCTTGCTTGATTTTATATTCTTCTTTGTTAAATGCACAATGCTTGGAATTTCAAGTGGTTGTAACAAAAAATGAGGAAAGCTAGTTGTAACAATTTGCAAAAGAAAAATGCTTGGTAGCACCACTAGTGCTAAATAGATGGTTGTTTGCAAAAGAAAAATATTTGAGAGCACCACCGTTACTAAGCATCATCACTAATAGAAGACAAGTCATATATGTGCACCCTATACTACCAGACTCATCTTTTATTAATTGGTGGTGAACATCATCAGTACTCTGTAGCATTCTCCTTGCAAAACGTGGGACAAGTTTTAGAAGCTCAGAAAAGGTGGCTTTTCCCTTCACTGTCTCTAACAGAAGAGCAAGTTGCCTTTTCTGACAGCCTCTGAGCCACCAAAATGCTATTTGAGCCTTCTATTTGTTCCAAAGGGAATACAAACAAATGTCAGAGAACGAGTTATATAGCAATCTCTATGCTATCTACAAAGGGAAAGAATCAGCCATTTCAACACAAAAGAGCCGTTATTTCGACTAGCAATCTTCAAATCAACAGAAAACAGGATTACATCAATGTCATTATAAACTGCCTTTCCAGTGTGCTAATAAGTGAGTATCTACAAAGGAGTATGAGAAAGAAAAAAAATGATCATGCTTGATCCATTGGAAAAACCAATCACTAAGCCAAAATCAACATCTTATGTGAAATTGTAATGAGAACACAACTGCTGTCAACTTCCTAGTTCCCAAAGTAAAAACCGGATAGAGCACCAAAGCAATTTCTTCAGTTCCAAAACTCAACTTCAAAAATCTAAGTTGATACACTTAGGACTTGACTTTGAACTTTTTCTTTTTGTTTCTGTTTCCATTTATTTTGACTTCTCTTTCCACTATAACCAGCTTGGAAATAGTGAGAAGGTAACAGTAGTTGAAGAACTCTGTCATCTATCTTGACCTTCTTTTTCTTCCTTCAAATGAAGAATAGATTTCACCCATTGCTTCCACGGGGCATCTTGTTGTTGCTCAAGCCATGACAAGAAACAGCTATCTAGTAAGCAGAAGAAGTTGACATAGAGGAGTTGATACCTGACAGGTATATATCGGAAATTCACAATCTGAACGACTGGCCATACACCTCCTTCCAGAATCAAGGCAGGGAGGAAGTCCCTTTTCACATCTTCCTTGATTTGAGGCACACTCTTCCCAGCAGAAAACCCCATATAAGTGAAGAACACGAGTAAATCCAGTGGCCCGAAAATAATCCCATCAATAGCGACTTTATTGGCAACAAACCAAAATGAATTTGCTTGTAATCGACGCCGCACCCTTATGAAACGGTCCAAACCTTCGTACCTATGAGAGAAAAAGGAGAGTAAAGATGCATAACTACGCAAATGGATTAAATTAAGGAGGGTCAAACACCTTCATCAATGATATATTAGTGTAAAAACGCCCCTCATCTCATCTTTCAATTTCTAGAAATGAACATTCTACAATGAAAATAAGAGCATCGATCTAATCTCCATAACTTACAAGTTGCATTAATAAATGTACAAATTCTGATATCAAGAACGAGGTTATCATGAAAAAACACTGAGAAAATGAAGCTACTGGCAGGGAGCTTCACATGTGAACATATTTACCGCACGAGACAAAGTTCAGTTTATAGATTTTTATGTGTCATAAAGAAAAGCAGCAAACACTTGTTCAAAGAATTGACGCATGGAATCAAATGTTGACTGCATCGAATAAAAACACATACATTTATGCCATACGTACAAAGGGTCATGCATTATAGCGATTGACTATCAAACTTCCTCCATACAAAACCAAAAAGGCAAGCACGAAAAAGTTCCCCTCATTGTTAGTATCAAGCTCAATTCACAATCTAGAGGTAGGAAGCCCAAGGTAGCCCGCAGATGAAAAGTTCAGAAATAAACTTTCAAAATTTGTATTCAACAAGCACCTTTACCAATTCATAATAGATTGTAACAGAAAAAGAAAAGGAACCAAAAAATTGAGTTAAATGTACAATAATTGAACGATTGAAGCTTTTCTACTTGGAATTGTCTTTGGTCCAAGCCCCTGCAATAGCATCGCCTTTGATAGAGTTATTACACGGAAGTGCAAGAGTGAATGATTCGGGCATCCATGGAGAGAATAGACCGTTTGCGTTTCAGAAACTTGTTTAATTTAGAGGTTTCAGAACAAACCTAAAACTTTATTTTTACGAATTAGAACTGCATTCATATTTTAGGACGTAAACAAAAATGGAGAAAGGGAAACACTCCACTCCTTCTCTTTCCATTGATGAAATGTAAAAATGCAACTAGCAAGCAAGAAAGGATGACAGCTCACCAGAAGTGACCAACTGGCCCAACAAATCCAAACCCAAACAAGCTGGTTGTAGCTACTCGTTTCCAGTTGATCTTAAATTCTTCGTTTTCATCCTGAAGTATAAACAGATAACTGTCACTCTTAACAAAGAGGATGGTAAAGCTTGTCGTATAAAAATAATTGGTTTGTCGAAACTCAAAACTCCCATGTTTATATACTAAAGCTTATATGAGCTTGAAATCTAAACAAATAAGCTTTGCTTGTCAATGAGAGATAGAAAGATTGATAAAAAGAACAATACAATAATACTCAAATTCTTCTTTTCCTTTTAATATCCTTTCATCTCCAAAATTAGCTCTAAAACTTTCAAGAAACTCCAAACATCCACTACTCTTGAGAGAGCAAATGCAAATGCCGTACATGCCCAAAAGAAAAACCAAGAAACTAGTGAAAAAGAAACAACAAAGACCGATACCCATTTCTCCAAAATAGTTGAGAATCACCAAAACGACGATATTATTCCTCAAGAACTTGTCCGTACATTAAAAAGGGAAAATGGGGTAGATTCTTTACCTGAATCCGACGTTGTCTGATGGCGGTGGTGTGCGTGATGGTCTGAGCAGCTATATCACCGAAACCCCATATCAGAGCTGAGCTGATCATCTGTGTCTTCACCGGATGAGTGGCCAAGGAGTTTTGGTACCATTTCCACAATCTCAACATGTATATCAGAGAGAGAGAGAGAGAGAGAGAGAGATTCTAGAGAGAGAAAGGGAATATAGAGGCTCAAGAGAGAGATTGATGCGATTGTGATTAATGGGTTTTCGACTCTAGTTCGTAAGCCCCATTTTTCATATTTTAGGAGGGTTGAAATTGAATATTCGATTGCGGGTGGTCTTTGAAAGAAG